TTGGCACATCTTCTCTCTAGGCATAAAGCCATTTCCTTTGTCCGGTGTGCCTTCCAGATGTATATTTTCCTGGTGTTTGGTATGGCAGAATGTGTGCTGTTGGGTCTCATGGCCTATGACCGCTATGTGGCAATTTGCCACCCCTTACACTATACCACCATCATGAACTGGCACTTCTGTAGCTATACCGCAGGAGCTGCTTGGTTGAGTGGTTTCCTCAATTCCCTCATTGTCAATGCTTTTGCTCTGCGCATGCCATACTGTACCCAGAATCGCATCAATCAGTTCTTCTGTGAGGTACCGGCTGTGATCAAGCTGGCATCTACTGACTCCTCAGAGGCAGAGATAGTTGTGTTTGTCTTTGGCTCCATTCTGCTGCTGGTGCCTTTCATCCTCATCGGTGCCTCCTATGCCCGCATTGGGATTGCGATCTTGCGCATTCGCTCAGCTGAGGGCCAACGCCGTGCTGTCTCGACCTGTGGTTCGCATCTCCTGGTGGTGAGCCTTTTCTACGGCACAGCACTCTTTGCCTATATGAGGCCCAGCTCGGTCAGTTCTGCCACAGGCCAGGATAAGGCTGTGTCTGTGTTCTACACGGTGGTCACCCCCATGATGAATCCCCTCATCTACAGCCTTAGAAACAAGGAGGTGAAGGGTGCTCTGAGAAAATTATTAAGCAAGAAAACAACTTCTCCAAACACGTGACTCTGGTGCTGTCTCCAGCTCTGTTCAGAAACGGAGGCTGAGAATAAGGATCATATCTGTAGTTTTAATTCCTCCTATCTAGAACCTGTAAGTTATGGTGTATACTGAGCTGGCTCATGAAATGGCCCATATGGAAATAAAAAACATATTTGTTACAAATTGAGACTAGAGCTATTGGCTCCTCCAAGGCCCTCCATCCCGGCAGGAAAATACTCAAAGCTGATTGGCTGAGCCATCTGACAACTCCCTATAAAAGGGCTAGCTGTCGGACAGAGCAATGCTGGATCTGTACATAGTTATTGAATAAAGAGCTGTTGTTATCACTGAAGCCTAAGTCCTGTCTTATCCATTCACCTAATCTAACAATATTTAAAATACATGGTTTCTTTCAAAAGTCCACTTTTTTGCATTTAAACATAATCCATATTTTGGATGAAGTTTTGGCAGTGTAGTTTTACCATAGTTATCCACAGCAGTTTATTTTCAGCTGTGATGGCACAGTGATTAGCATGCAGTACTGCAGGCTATTTCTGCTGACTGCCAGCTGCCTGCAATTTGGCAGTTCAAATCTCAACAGGCTGAAGGTTGATTCAGACTTCCATCTACGTTCTCAAATTTAGGCTGATCCCTCAAAAAATTTTTATAATAGAAGCAGGGAAAAAAACATTTGCCTTCCTGAGCTTGAGTAGCAAGTGATCTTCCCTCATCTAAGACCAATAAGCAATTTTTAAGGAAGGCAAAAGAGACAGTGCGTCACCCGGATTTGTTCAAAGAAAGGTGAAAATAGGTAAGGAAACCTCCCTCCTTCCTCTACCTAATGGTATGATTGGTCCTGTTAGTAATTAATTTGTTGGGAAGAAATGTTTAATTCAGAAAACCTTAAAAAATTGCTTGGCCATTCTAGAACAAGTGTCTCTTTTATTGCCTTTATATAAATATTTAAGGATATACAAGAGTCTTACTGCAGTAGGATCAGCCACACTATTTAAAGCATCACAGAGAACTTCTAATTTGTCCAGGTGTTTCCCACACAAAATCAGTCTTGTTCCTCCTCTTGTGCACATTCTGAAAGATAAACCAAAGGATGATTCAATTAATTGGGATTACCATATAATAGAATATACCTGTTCTCATTCATTCAATCCTAATGACAGAAAAAAATCTTCCCACATTCAGGATAAATCCTCCTTCCACATGCAATTGTTTATATTTCATCTACTGATCTTGTGGATGCTTAAACAAATGTATAATCCAGACGTTGCCTGAACAAGCATATTTTGTGCCTCTTTTTGCTTACAAATGTATTCTACGAAGTCTTGAGCATAGAACTGAGGGTAAAAGCTAGAACCCAGAACTACAGCAGTTGGGTTATAGTTCTTAAAACACAAGAAAGTTATGACGTTTCCATTGAGCAGATCCTTTGCATGAGAGAGGTATGCAAAAAATTAAGTGACATCATCAGAAATTATGAAGCCTGATATGCTGCTTAGTAAGGAACCTGAAGTTATAGGAGCTAAATATCCATTTATCTCAGTTAACTATACATCTAGCCACATTCAGCAAAGACAGGAGCCAGCTGTATGTCTATGTTAGGTGAGGTAACAAGTTACTTATATTCCCATTTAATATAGAAATATAGAGAGATACCAGAGCATAATTTTTGTTCTGTCTCTGTTTACGTGACATCTTCCACACAGGATGTGGTGAAAATGATTTATGTTCCTCTGTTGCCAGCATGGAAATGAATTGCTGGAAATATATTTCTTAGAAAAGGTCTCCATACCACCTTGGGAAGGCAAGGCTGAGAACCCTGGGAAGCCAACATTTCCATGCATTTCAGTAATGTATATAAGTAGCAAGCATCCCCAAAGGAGAATGAGCTGATGATGGCTGCAGTGATTGTCCCCTTGTGATTGAAAGAAAGGATTCCATCCCTGGAAATCCTCACAAGAAATAGCCTGGGATAAATAGAGCATGCTCAGTAGCTGCAGAATGAAATGCCACATGGAAGGGAAAACAAAAAAGATATTGTCCAGCAGGAAAAGAGACAAAATGGCAGCTTGGAAAGGATGAACGGTTTTCTGGACAAAACCCAGAGTAAAATCATTAACTGAATCAAACTTTAACTTGATTTATTCGGTTTACATAACACAGGGTTAAAAATTAGGCAGCACAATTATAATTCTCTATGTGAAAATAAGCACAAAATATTTAAAACAGGTTCTCCCTTTCATAAAACCTACCACAGTCTTCTTGTAGGAAAGCAGTATATATAGGGGAAAGTTGGCAGCACACAAGCAATTTGATAGAATAGCCTAGGATAGCTGCCTATAATTTGAAATGATCTCATCCTTTTTATCAAGAGATTTCTTAGATCGTCCATTCGCCATCCTGGTCCAGCTCCAGTAAGAGAGTTCTGCAAAGTCTACTTGCAATCTGTCTGTCTGTCTGTCTGTCTGTCTCTCTTTCTCTCTCTCTCTCCTTCTTTCTCTCTCTCTCTCTCTCTCTCACACACACACACATACACAGAATGGAAGAAATAGAATAGCTAAAATTCCCTAGCAAAAAATGATACCAAATTAAAGTCACACAGAAGGTCCGTCATACTTGCCATAGAGATTTATTTTTCTTTTCAAAATATACTTACTAAGAGGTCAGTTAGCAGGACAATTAGCAATATATTGCACATTCTGACTATTTATTCAGCATCTGTCAGTGCATATGGAGATTTTCAAAACTGCACAAACCCTATTTTTTCCTGCAATGCAACCCATTTTTGTAAGATTTTATCTTGTAAAATCAAGACTATGACACAAATCCATTTAAATCCATGTTGTATTCATTTCCTGATTGCTTGCTTTATATTATAAACAGCTTACATGTAGTAGTCCATTCATTTATTGCAATGCAAAGGAGAAAAAAAGGGGGGGGGAAGAGTAGAGGAAAAAACCACTTATGTATTTCCTCTTATAATTATAAAAGGCCAAAAAGCAATTACTACAGACATTAATCCCATTTGATATCCAACTACAGTTTTGCAATAAAGCTAATAACTTACTTGGAAAGCAAGCAGTCAGCCCACCGATAAGGTGGTGTCTCCTGCCAACTAGTTTATTCCAGAAGTTTAATTAAACTCGTAGATGTTTTTGGAAAGGAAAAGCAGCCCACAAATTGTAGCTATTGTGCAAGTTAAACTATGGATATTTTTCCAAACTGCAGTGGCAGTTAGTTCTTACACCTTTTAGGTGCAAATGACATTTTGAAAATTTCTGCCAAATTTGTGGAAAAAGAAATTGGGTAGTTGACTTCAGCCAATTTCTGTTTGGGAAGGAAAAAATCATTTCAAAATCAAAATCCATCTGTAGCAGCAGTATTATAGAAAAATCACAATGGGAGTTTTTTCCCCCAAGCTTGATGATATGGAGGACTGCAACAACCTGGAAAGAAATTTGCACAAGGACAGAGAAAACATTCTCACACATTTCTTGGTGGCCAACTGACTGAATGAGCACAGTACCATCACCTGTGAGAGTTTAATTTTGATTTTAGATAATTTCTAAAGTAACTTTTATTTCATCAAACTGAATGAGACCTACTAGAAGAGAAGGCAGAATTTCCATTCTAATCATCCCATAGTATGGAACACAAAGAATGCAGCTTACAAATCCACAATTGGTTGTATGGACTGTTTTCACAGAAATAACATCTGGAACACTTACTTCATCAATGCAAAGGAGAGGGACATTCAGTACCCCAACTCAAAATGTAGATGGGTCCAAAAGGGGCAGAATCAGAAAAAATGGTGCCCTGAAATATTGATTGTCTATTTGTTAGTCTCAGTAGAATAAACATATTCAGTGTCACTAATTTAATTCAGGGGTCACTAGATAACTATTATTCAAGTGAAATGCAACAATAATTTGTTTAATGAAGTTCAACGCTTCCAGAATTGGATTCTATGGCTTGAATCCATTGATGGCAAACCAGAAGTTTGTATTAACCCCCTCCCCTCCTTAAAAAAAAAACACACCAACATAATCTTGTTCAAATTCAGATCAGCTGAGAAGGCAGAACTGAAATTGCCCTGCTTGAGAATTCTTTAAGCGTTTCAACATAACTGGACTAAGTAGAAAATGCTTGAATTTGATATTTTATCACAACTTTTATCAGTGGAGAAGGTTGTTTGGAGAGATGAAATGTTCTTCTTTACTGGAAGTCCCATAGACTGAGAAACTCCATAGACACTTTTGCAGGATTCTTTAAGTGTAAACCCGACACTCCGGTGCATTCTACTTTGCCAACCCATTATTGAACAGGAATTATAGTAGGTGCCTTTTTTTTCATTTTGCCATTCTATAGGCTTTTGGTTTGTTTTGGGTGCTTTTATGTAAGGTTAAGATAAGTTGGGACACCAGAGGTAGAAAAAAATGCTGAAGATATCTGGAATTGGTGGAAATGGTAATATAATAGTGGTTATGACTAACAATACTAGGCTAACAATACTTTCAATAGTATTTTTATTAAAAGTAACAGTTTAAAAAGATGAAAACTAAAAAAATATATAAAATGAAAAATGAAAAGAAAAATAGAGAACAATGACTTTATAAGATTACAGTAAAGAAAAAGAAATGAAGTACGGTATATAAATAAAAGATTGTCTCTTTCATCATAAGTACAAACACTTTTAATAACATATCACCTTTTCGTAAAATAAAACTAATGATATCTTCTTTCCATAACTTATCTCTTGTCTATAAACAAATCCTTAAAGTGTTGCCTTTTAGTCCTGATGTCAGCAAATGTCTATTAAGGATTACCAAACCTTGATCAAGTAAGACAATATTATATATCTTCCTTTTAACAATCTTGGTCTTTAGTCCTTTCAAGTAATGTTCTAAAAATTGATTTCATTTATCTTTGTCTGTTCTCACAAAATTCTTCATAGTATTAACAGCCTCTTTGTAAGTCCACTATAGAAAAGTTTTCCAAGTCATTCTTTTGATTATTGTTTGTATGACCTTTTTAATTATTAAGGCATTAGCCAATTCCATTTGTATGTCCAATACAGCATCTTTTGGGGCATCATTCTTGCAGGCTGTCTATCTGCAATGACAGACACTTTTATAGTTCACTTCTGGATTCATTGTTGACAAATATCTTTCAATGTGTCCAAAAATTTACTTTGCCAAAGAATGAAG